CTGACTAACGAGTACTGTCATAAATACATTATGATAAAATCAATGGGGCCATTTGTGCAAAGACTGAAACACATTTTCCGAGCATTTTCAAAACTGTCAGTGAAATGCATTGTTTAAAAAAGTACTGAAGTACACAATAATTAAGCTGTAATTTAAAATGCTTACATTGGTAGAAAGAGTACTAGTTGCAGCAGAGATAGTCAGATAGAGACAGGGTACATATGCACGTATTTATAAGCCAGAATCAGAATGGTGTCCTTATGGGAATTTCCCAACATTGCATATTATTCGTTCACGTCCGTATGTTTCAATGTTAACTTTAATAAAAGTACAATCTATGAATAGTTAATTAGTCTAAAAAATTAGAATGATCACCAAAACATTCAAAAATTAATGAGTATATATTCTAAAAACAGAAATAATCATGCAAGCTATTGACTTTCATCTTATTCCTGTGCAGAATTCATTCATATGTCTCCTTAATTTCTGGATTTCCCCCACACGATATTGCTTGCCACACTTTGGGCATACAAGATTCGGGTCATAAGGCAATGAACTATCGTCGTCGTCATTAAACAGAACCTCAGCTGTACTTGGGCCTTGCATTTCTTTGCGACGCTGTTCAGCCATTTGCCGTATTTCCTCCTCATCTTTATCAATTTCTTCATCAGACTCATCTGATTCCTCATTAGAACATTGAGCATTAATGTGTCTTTTTAGTTTTTGAATTTGACCCACACGATACTGCTTACAACACTTAGGGCAGACCAGGTTAGGATCTAAAGGCCTGCCTTTGTCATCATCCTTGTCAGCTGCCTTTAGTAATCTCTGTAAGAAAGGAGTTTTCTGTCTAAGCTGATCTATTTCTTCCAATTCTTTATCAATTTTAATCTTTTCCTTTTCTGCCTCTTGTTCATCATAGCCTGACTCCATTTCATAGTATTCTGGTTGTACTGACTTCTTAAAGAGTGCTGCCATTTCTTCTGCTGTAAATTGTGGCTTCTCGTTTAGATGATCAGAATAGGCACGATAAGAGTGATCCATTTCATCACTTTCTCCCTTAACACCAGGACCACTGCTTGCTTGAGTTGACATCTGATAATAATTACCACCTGGTACATCATTACGACGTGATGAAATATGAGCCTGACTAGAATCAGTGGAGGTATTGTGACCTTTTAACTTCTCAAATAATACCTACAAAATTGAACATCAGAATTCCCTTAAAGTGTTAAATTAAAACTACTTACTTTATTAGCTTTCCTCATTCTTTCTATTTGATCCTCTAGTTTAGCCTGTTCCTCATGATATGCTGCCAGTAATTTTTCGTAATTAGCTGATAAAGTATCAAACTGCTGTGCCTACAGTATCAGTCATTAAACACACACACACATTATATTACCAGTTGTTGCTGGGAGTACATAGCTTTTTCTTTATCAGCTGATACATTATCTAACTGTTGTCTCAGCCTAGCCTGCACACTAGCCTACAGTATTAGTTATTAATTACAAAATTTACACATACAGAGTATTTGTACCAGTTGCTGCTTGGACTTTATTTCATTAGCAAGTCTCTCACTTAACTCACTGACCTATAATAATACATGTATAAGTACAGTTTCACTAATTTTGTACATACCTCAGTTTT